TTTTTTTTATTATATTTTTTTTTTCTGACGCCCACAAAATTTGAATGTATATGTCTATTAACTGTTAACAGGCGTCGCATTTTACATTAAATCTACCGTATGTACACATGAACCCAAAATTTTTTTATTTTTAAACCAAACACGGCCGACACACATGCATACTGGTAAGTGCTGAAGATTTTGAATTGCGCGCGCCATGCAAACCTACCACCGCTAATGCACTCACCACGGCGACAAGCGAAACTCACCACGGGCCAACCACGCGAGCACAGCGCCGCAAGGTTTGTGTGCGCGAGCGCGAGACAGCAAGCAAGAAGCAGGCAAATGAGCGAGACAACCAGCTGGACAGCCAACAGACGGCGCAACAAGCGAGCGCTGGCTGACGCCACTCGCTCGCTCTCATTGTTTTGTTGCTGGCACAGCAGCGCGCATTACATTGTTTGGTGAGTGAGCGAGCGAGTGACGGACTGACTGAGTGACTGAATGACTGAATGACTGGCTGGCTGCCTTGCTGGCTGCTGTTGCTGCTTAGCGTCATTTGTTGTGTCTGTGGTTAGCTTGCAGCTCGCTCCAATCGGAATCAGTGTCTTGAGTAGTTCAAATTAACTGTCGCGCACACACACAAACACACACCCATAATAAATACACCGCCCGCCGTTTGCTGCCTAAGATCAGGCTGCCGTCGCTGCCGCTGCCGTCGTCGCCGCCGCCGCCAATTGGATCGTCGTCGCTGTCGCGTCGCCCCGTTCAGTGGTCGATGTTTGGGGTTCAGTTCAGTTCAGTTCAGTTTTAGTTACCGCACGGCAAAAGCGTCGCTGCTCCGCACAAATTTATTTTTAAAACAAACCAAACAAACGCAGCCCCAAACATAGTGGCGCTGGCGTCGTTACCATCGATTCAGTTCCTCCAGGTGCTAAACCAAGTGTTATTTGTGACTACAATTTAATTCCAATTGGATGTGGCTGCGGTGCAGAACGTGAAAGCGAATTGCTTGCGTTGCGGCCAATTGATTTTTCACCAAAATCTACTTGAGAGCCGACGCTGTCCCGCCCCTCACCGCCTTTCCCATAAAAGGGCAGCCGGCAAACGGCTGACCTCCCGCCTCCCGTCACGCTCTCTCTCACCCGCTCTCTCTTTGTCTCTCTCTCTCTCTATATATCTCTCGCACCTCACCACAGGCAGCATAGACCCTAACCTCAAATCAGCTGTTGCATACAATTGACATCGTGCGAAGCGCGTCCAGCGAAGACAATAATAACAACAAGAACAACGGCAGCAAAAGCAACACACAAAATGGACATTCAAACACTCTGCAATGAATGGGATGAGCTCAATCGAGAATATGCCGAGCTTGAGGTGAGTTGCTGTTGTTGTTGTAAATGATGTAGGAGTAAATATAAAAGTGGATGTACATACATACATATATAGGAGTAAATATAAATGTGGATGTACATACATACATATGTATATACATAGATGTGTTTGTTGTTGTTCCTACTACTATTTTGAATCAGCTGCTCATTATTAGCACAGTCTCACACTCTCTCTCTCTCTCTCTTTCTCTCTCTCCCTCTGTGCAGGAGTGCAACAGACGCAACATTGAGCTGCTGGAGCAGCTGCATCAGCATCAACAGAAATGCTTTAACGAGATCAAGCATCAGCGATATCGTATGAATCAAATATCAGCCTCAATGCGACAGTGAGTAGAATAGCTAGCATATAACTGTACTATTTACATACACACACACACACACACACACACACACACACACACACACACGCAGACAAACACGCACGCACGCTTATGGTGTCAAAGCCAACCCTTATATAATTACATACAAAACCTTTAACTGTACTTAGCTAGCATTCGTATGCAACAGGCTTCAGCTAGCGATGGCCGCGTGACACGACACATTTGGACATGCCATTTATTACGGCCATAACTGTAAATGTCATAATAACTGCATCTTATCGCTGCCGTAAGAAAACAAATTCACAAAGTTAACAAAGTGTTAAAGTGCCGTTAAGAGCACTCAGTCAGCTGCCTGCTCAACTCCATGTCGAATGCTTAACTCGTGAATCTAATGCGCTGCTTAATGGCCATCTCCAATAGTATAAACAACCCCGATGTCACGCTCTCACGCTCTCTGTCCCTCTCACACGCACACACTCTCTTTGAAGTTGTTGCCGAATTGGAATTTGATCTCGAATCAATTACCGTTGCGAACGAGGCTATTCTAATCAGATTCGCAACTGTGAAACAGCTAGCCCAACCGTTTTCTTATCAGCAGCCGCCGCAAGTTGTGAAACACATGTATGTCGGCAATTAGTCAGTGAATTTCGCTCTTATCGCCACTGCCACGCCTCCACCTCCACCAGCTCCCCCCTCTACCCAGAGACTAGAAACAGCTGTGTCGGCATTTAAAGTGCGTATTTCTTCCACTTAGTTTGCAATTAGTTTTTACAGCTGTGCGTATGTGTCTGTGTGTGTGTTTTTGCAGCTATTCTGATAAAAAATCTGTGATAAAACCTAATACACGTACATAGACTTTGCGCCCGAACGGGCGTTAGGCGCATTTATTGTCAAAGCAAATGTCATAAAATAAGTTTATTTTGTAATTGAAAGTGAACCTTTGCCCAGCGAGCAGGCCACTACTCTCTTTCCCTCACTCTCCCCCACTCACTCTCTTTCTCTGTCTCGTTCACTCGTTCGCTCTTCCTATTCAATAAGTTGCAGTTGCTTTGCCCCGCTTTCCAACTAGCTGCCCTTGACCCTGTGCTGCTGCTGCTGCTGCTGTTGCATGAAGCGTAAACTGAAAAGCCAGCAAACATTAAGCGACACAGAAAAAAAAGAAAAACAATAACAAAATAAACAACAAATTTAATAATAAACAAAGCTAACTGAGTGACCACAGTGGCACAAATGCGTTAAGCGCATATTGCATAGGTAAACAAATTGTTTGAATACCAGTTTTGATTTGTTTTCCTGTCTATTTATTTAGGTTATTTGCGTATTCAAAATGTTTTGAACAAATCATTCATTTAATAGCAATTTAAATATACATATGTATATATGTATATGAATATATACAGCGCATTCTTTGTTTTCATATTGATTTCGCTTTGAGAAATGCATTAGTGACCCACTGTGCACGCAGGCAAGGCCAGTTTGCCTGCTGTTGTTGTTGCTGCTGTAACAGTTGTGGAGTTTCATGTGCTGGCGCTTAATTGTGTGTGTGTGTCAGTGTGTGGTGTATGTATGTATGTGTGTCAACGATCGCCAGAGAGCACATGTACAAAATTGCTCTTTGCACTCGCTCCGACGGTTCGCAAACCAAAGCGTTTACCTCTCATACTCTCATACTCTCGCTCTCGCTCTCTCTCTCTCTCTCTCTCTCCGTAAGGCTGAGCGGTGAACTCAAACACTTGTTTGTGTGTTTGTATATTTGTATGCGCAGCCTGAGCGATTTTAGACGCGCGCGTTTTGCTGTGTCTTTGCCTCCAAACGGTTGACCTTGCGCTTGGCTAGCTGCCAGCTTTACTCTATTCAAATGATGCAACAACAACAACAACTACAGCATTATAACAATAAATTAAATGATTTCGCCTCTGTCAAAATGGTAAACACGAGCTAAAATTACAAAACTCTAGAAAGCACGAGAAAGATATTAAAAATATATTTAAAAAAAAAAACAAAAAACAAAACAATGTAATCGCTACCTGTGCAGCCCTTAAAGAGCATTTAACTTGTTGCGCAAATTAAGCTTAATTGACAGATGCGAAAACGAAATAAAACAAAAATAGAAAGCTTAACTAACAGCACCCAAAAGCAATTACGGTTATTGTTTTGCTTGCCGTTGTTGTTACGTTTGCGCAAACAAAGTAAACATATAAATATAAACAAAGTAGAATCAATTTATTTTTTGCCAGCGCTTGCGCAAAGTTGCGTGCTGTACAAGCGAGTTGCGCAAGCGCACGCTTGCGCTTCTGTTTGTGTTTGCCTTTTGCTTCAGCTGAAGGCGCGTTTAAAAGCGCGCGCAAAACGCGCGCGTTTCACGGGCGACTCTTTGCGCGTGTTCAAAAGAAATCAAAGCGAAAAGTAAAGTATGAACGTTGCAGTCGGGCGCTACTGACTGCGTGATACTTTGCTGTCATGGTGGGAAATCAGGATAGAACAGAATTAACTAACATAGTTATTATCGAAAACTGTTATTAGTAATGTATTAAATCTTTTATAATGCATTTTCAGACGGACATTGCACAAAACCAATATACCTGTTTTCTCTTTGGAAACAAAGTATAAAAAAACTGTTAGCCAAAGATAAATACAAGCAACTATTTTTAGTTATTTGTGCTTGTCGAGCATGTATGTTCGTATGTTTGTGTGTATCGATGTACATATGTTTTGTCTCTGAGAACATGTCGCCTTTCAGCCCCATTTCCGGTGTTATATAACACACCTGCGGGGGAATTAACGAATCAATTTTTGTTTGTTTCTGTTTATTATTTCTTGCTTTTGCCATTCATCAAGTACAAGCACAAGTCAGAGCCCCGATTATTATTTGACCAACTCAGTAGCCCCCATTATCAGTGCCGCAATTTCAAGTACGCTTTTTTCGCATTCTTAAAGACGGCGCTCCCTCGTTTATCGCTTATCAGCGCGATTTTTATTATATATATACTAAATTTTATATGTAAGCGTGTGTATTGGGCATATGTATTAGTTATACTCGTCTGGCAAGTGTAGAGAGTATATTTGTTCTTGTGAAATTTGAAATTGGGAATAAGACAAACAGTTTTCAGATATAACCGAGATTCCGTCTGGGGGCGTGGCTAAAAAAAATATACTATATATGATATAAGACTAAGATTGCAATTTGGAATGGTTATAATATAGATAATTGATGAATAGAATGGAATAGGAAATCTTCAACTTCTGAAGGAAATCTATTACTTCTTAATAAAATCACACTTGCGAGATCTTGGCATTAATATGCTACTAAGATTCTCTATGAAGCTTACGCCTAATAGGGGGGTGATAAATATATAAATGTATATATATCTATAATGGGCGTAACGAAACTAAAAATAATATTTTTTATTTAATATTTTATCTATAGTAAATTCAAGTTCCAAATTTGAATGGTTTTAACTTCCACGAACATCATCTTGGGGCTTATCGGAAATTAGTTGTTTTTCCGCCATGCACGAGTATCACGCAGTCGGTAACGTCCGTTCGCAAGAGTCTTACGTGTTATTTATTGGATGTTTAAAAATAAAAACATGAATTATGCAAGCCATAGATAAAAAATTAAAAACAAACAACGAAATCTAATAAGAATGTACCCAGGAGGTAATACCCATATCTATACAAACATGTACATGTATATGGGTATATACCCTATATACGCACACATGGAGTGAGTCGGCTCTCGTGTTCCTTTGCAACTGTCAATTATGTCTAAATTGAACTTTGACGTGGGCTAAATTGAAATTGCCGTGTGCCGTGTGCCGTACGCCGTACGCCGTGCGCCGTACACCGTCCGCCGTGTGCCGTGTCTATAATTGATATCGCTCGCCGGCTTGCCCGGCTTTGACCAACCTCCCCTGGGCCGGTGTTCCCCCTGCCGTATAATAATAAATATTATATATTTATGCAAATTGCATATTGAGCCATTCGCCGGCAGCTTAAAGATTGGAATACCGTTAAGAAAAATTTAAGATGAAGTATTAATGGCACTACGAATGGGTTAATCTAATGGGTTATACTAAGCGTCCATATCTTTAATATGTTTAAATGAATGCGGAGTAGACTGGGTAGTTTGTGTATTTAACTTAATCAATCTATGGGTATCAATCAAATATATCGATTTCGATATCGATATCGTTTGTTTCTGCTCTTGCTTTATTACTCACTTTGAAATTACTTTTTGAATTTCAGATATAAAGGACCGGTTGAAGGCGAGGAGAAGGAGAAATTGGACAACCTATTAAAGATGTCGCTAAAGCGCAAGGCGCAACTACATGAAATAGAGCAATCACTGCCGGCACGATCCGGTCGCTATCTACAGGTGAGTTGGTCACACTGACCGATTGTAGTTCCACACTAGAGTTGACACGTCTCTACCCTCCCCTTGCCACCATGCCATCCCTCAGATAATACTAGGCGATGTGAATGTCTCGATTCTGAACAGAAACGACAAAGTTCGCTACAAAGATGACTATGAAAAGTTTAAGCTAATACTCAATGTAATTGGACTGATAATGGCATTTTTCAACTTGATATTCAACTACAGGTGAGTAGATACACAGATACAGATACATAGATACAATACAGATACTCAGATACAGATACAGATACAGATACAGATACACCGATGCAGATACAGATACAGATACAGATACAGATACAGATACAGATACAGATACACCAATGCAGATACAGATACAGATACAGATACAGATACAGATACAGATACAGATACAGATACAGATACAGATACAGATACAGATACAGATACAGATACAGATACAGATACAGATGCAGATACAGATACAGATACAGATACAGATACAGATACAGATACAGATACAGATACAGATACAGATACAGATACAGATACAGATACAGATACAGATACCGATACAGATACACAGATACAGATACAGATACAGATGCAGACACAGATACAGATACAGATACAGATACAGATACAGATACAGATACAGATACAGATGCAGATGCAGATACAGATACAGATACAGATACATATACAGATACAGATACAGATACAGATACAGATACAGATACAGATACAGATGCAGATGCAGATACAGATACAGATACAGATACATATACAGATACAGATACAGATACAGATACAGATACAGATACAGATACAGATACAGATACATATACATATACAGATACAGATACAGATACAGATACACCGATGTAGATACAGATACAGATACAGATACAGATACAGATACAGATACAGATACAGATACACCGATGCAGATACAGATACAGATACATTTACAGATGCACAGATACACAGATTGATATAAAACAGAAACTCTTCTCCTCACACACATTTGTAGAGCTCTGGAACTGGCTTTCATATTTCTGCTGGTCTGGTACTACTGCACCCTGACTATACGGGAGTCCATATTGAAGGTGAATGGATCCAGGATCAAGGGCTGGTGGCGCGCCCACCACTTCATCTCGACGGTGGCCGCCGGCGTCCTGCTGGTCTGGCCGCAGGGCGAGCACTGGCAACTCTTCCGCCTGCAGTTCATGTACTTCAATGTCTACATCAGTGAGTAAATGCAAGCGATATATAAGTATATATAGATGTGGATATCTGGGGATGTATTAATTGGTTTCGTTTGCGTTCTGCACAGGCATCGTGCAGTATTTGCAGTTTGGCTATCAGAAGGGTCTGCTGTATCGGCTCAAGGCGCTGGGCGAACGCCACAACATGGATATCACCATTGAGGGCTTCCATTCGTGGATGTGGCGCGGCCTGAGTTTCCTTCTGCCATTCCTGTTCATTGGCTACGCCTTTCAGGCGTACAATGCCTGGACGCTCTTCAAGCTGGCCTACTATCCGCCCGACGCCCCCTGGCATGTGTCCGTCATGTGCGGGCTCTTCCTTCTGCTCTTTGTGGGCAACATCACCACCACGCTCCTGGTGGTGCCGGAAAAGATACGCGAGCGGGCTAAGGAGCGCTATCGCCTCCAGAGCATGGGCAAGTCCATGAAATTGCGCAAGGAGATGAAGGTGAGTGTGGCCGGAGGCGGGCATGGGGGTGGGTTTGGGGCTGGTATGCAAACTGGAAAGCGAGATGTATGTTAGCCCTAAGGCGGGGCGATTGCATTTCATTTGCATCAGGAGAGCAGGACCCTATACACTCTTTATCGATAAAGCGATAAAACGATAAATAAAAAGCATCCCATATTCTCTTTGAGTAAATGAATTGTTATGTTTCATTTGATCTTCAAAAAATTCATTTCAATTAAAGTTTTCAATCAGAAAAATATTCTTAATCGATAAACGATTAATTTACATAAAATTTGCCATAGTTAAAATTCTTAATTATATTCGTTTTATAGAAAAAAACGATTATTTACAAAGAATAATCGAAACCGTAATAAATTAACATTCCATAGGTATATATTAATATCAATACTTAATATGTAGAAATTTTAAGAGGACTTTTTAATACTGTATATGAAGCGTATTCAAACTGTCTTACAAAACCCATCAACCCTCTTTAAGATTATTTCGAACAGGCATTCGCTTAACATAAACTGTAATTATTCTGTTTTCGTCTCTCCTCCATTGTACCGTTACAGAACAGCGCCAGCGACTTGGACATTTCAACCAGCTCGCAGGCAGCGTCAGCAGCGACAACGCCGACAGCAGCACAGCCAACTACAACGACGCCGACGTCAGCTGCTGCAGCAGCTGCATCAGCAACGGCAACAGCGACGCCAACGCCAACGCCGACGGCAACGGCAACGCCAACGCCTGCAGAGAAGAAGGCGAACTAAAGCATAGAGAGCATTTGTGAGAGGTCTAGCGCTCAGTCATATGTTTATATATAATTTTTGGACCCGAGACCCCAACCACCAAAAACCCTCACCCAACCCCTAAAATCCTAACCCACTCCCTAGGTTTTCTTTTGGTTTTTTAGTTTGCACACTAATTTATTGATTTCGCTTTAAGCTGGAGATTTTTGGCTCCCTTTATTATTCCTATTCAGCTTATTGCAATCATTGATTTTTATTTTCTGTATGTTCGTTCCGCTTTGAACGGTAACTTAAGCAAGACATTCACCTATTGTGAAGCGAAAAAGAAAACAAAAGAAAAACCAAAAAAAAAAAAAAAAAAAAAAAAAAAAAAAAAAAAAAAAAAAAAAAAAAAAAAAAAAAAAAAAAAAAAAACAAAAAACAAAATCAACAAAAAAAAAATACTTAAGCAAAAAACAAACTCAAAATAGAGTAACATACGCTGTGTATATGTACGTACACAAGCTATGTACAATTTTTTTTTTTAATATTCTTTAAGATAATTTTTTTTTTTATTTATTTTTTGTTTACTCGGATGCTTGTAATGAAAAATTGTAGGAGAAACGACGTGAAATGAAATTGTAAATTGTCCTGAGTGCAGGCGAAGCGAATTGATATTGAATGAAAAGAAACTGCACTCACAACACAACAAAAATAAACAGAGAAAGCAAATTGCAAGAAAAATATTAACATTGTGTTTCTCTCATTGTAGTCGGCTGGGGATGTGTGTGTGCTCGGCTGACTGTTTTGTGTGAGTGGAAGTGGGAGTGGGAGCGCGAGGGCGAGGGCGAGGGCGAATACGAATGCGAGAGCGCGGGCTGCGGACTGCGAGTGCGAGTGCGAATGTGAATGTGTGGGAAAGTGTTGCTCTTTTTGTATGCGCTCGCCTCTGTTCATGTGGGTGTGTGCATGGAACAGTAATTAAATCGATGACACTGACCACAATTTATTGAATTGCGTGTTAAGCAGCGGCATTTAAAGTTGCTCATTATGGTTTTGGCCATGGGCAAAATGTCTGCAAATGTGAATATGCAAAAATGTTGATTGCTGCCTGGTTTAGTGGTTTATTTGATTGCGGCTAACGTGCCATCTACATGTACATAAATACAGTAAAATGCGCGCCTTTAAATCTTTATTCTCTCTTATTTCTACAGTAATACAATTTTTAAAGTATTTTAATAATATCAAGTGTATTTTTCAAGTGTAAGCTGACTCTTTCAGCATGTACTGCTGTAGTCAAATTTGCAAACATAATATCTAGTGCATTTCTTCAAGTGTAAGCAGATCCTTTCGTCATTTACTTCATCTCCTTCAAACGCATACAAATATTGTATGTCACTGAAGACAATTTAATCAGCTGCTCTCCTCTTTATGCTTAGCTCGCAACAATTTTGCAATAGCTTGACAAATAATGCCCGTCTCCCTCACTCATTCACAAACACTGCTTGTGTACGTGTATGTGTATTATACATTGTATGTACATATGCACATACACATTTGCATATACTGAAGACCATTTTGTCAGCAGTTCTCTGCTCTGCTCTCCTTACGCTCGCTGCTGTGCTTGTTGTTGTTGCTTATATTGCTTAGCATGCTCAAATGCTGTATGCATTTACCGTTAGTCAACAGCTCTCTTCAGCTTAGCTCACTCCATAATTGTGCCTGCCTGTACTTGTCTCGCTCACACTTGTACATATTTCGAGTTCCTTTTGCTTCATTTTGTGAGCTTAGTCCGTCTCGATCGCACTGCATGAAGAAGAGAAATGAGAAATGTTTTTCTTTTATTTTACTTATTATAATAAAGTAAATACTAATTGCAGCATTTTGTTGATTTTGCTAATTTGTTTCAAATTTAAAGTGTCAGCGCCGACCTCGAACTCGACCTCGACTTTACTTTTTATTATATGTATTTTACTTGTGGTTTTTTTTCTTCTTTTTTTTGCAGCTTATCTCTTGTGCGGACTGCGAATTGAGTGAGCTTTGGTGTCTGGGCAGACCGGGCGTATGCTTAGGCGGCGCATGCAGTGACTTGGACAAGTGAGTGAGTGAGTGAGTGAGTGAGTGAGCGAGTGGGTGGGTTGGGTGGAGGGGGCGGTCTGGTCTGGCCGGGCGACTCTTGTTTTACTGATGGCCATTAATGCGGCTGTCGTCTGCCCGTTTGCAACAAAAGCCCTGCAATGCGGCAAAAGCGGCGGTTTTTGTGCACCACGTTGGGCGCCATTTGCCCGCGCCCGCCTCCATTGATGTGGGTTCCTCCTGAATAGGTGGGCGAGAGGGGATGTGTGGATGGTGGTGGGTTGGTAACCGCAACCGCAGCGCAGGCGGTCATTGAGGCTACATCCTGTGCCGTTCACTTGTCGCGCACTCCAGCCACCCGTCCACCGCCCCACCGTCCCACCGTCCCGACCGACCCATCTTCCACATCCATGTCCTGGCCATTTGCTTGTCGCGCTGCCGCAGCCTAATTTGGCGAGAGTTCATTAATTGCGTAAACGGCGCACGCTTTTAATTATGTCGAACGTCGGCCCTGACGCGCCATTGCTCCCGGCGACCGGCCGAGGGGTGAAGGGGGGCAGCGGGAGGCGGAATGCTTGCTGGATGGCGGCGATTCTGGTCACAGACCGGGCGTATTTTGTGCATTTGTGGCATTGTTTGCATTGTTGTGCAGCAGCAGCGGCAGCGGCAGAGGCAGAGACAGAGGCAGAGGCAGCGGCAGCAGCCAGTTGCTCACTGCCGCATTTTGGTTGCCTGTTTTTCTGCGCCACCAACGGAATTTACGACTTTTGGTTGTTGCAGCCGCAGCGCCCATCAACGTAAGCACAGAGCAAAGAGTGTGAGAGTGAGAGAGACAGAGACAGCGAGAGAGAGAGAGTGCCTGTGCGTGTGCGTGTGTGTGTGTGTGTGTGTTAAGTGGGCGGCTTTTGGCCGAGCCGTGCGATTATCATTTATTGCAACCGCATACGGGAAACGTCACTGGCATTGTGAAGCGCGTAATTCGTTAATTTGATAAGCATACGCCATGTTGAACAGGCGATTGAAAAGCCCATTGGCTATTGCCGCTGGCAACGGGAATTGGCATTAAGGCAACAGCTAACAGCAAATTAATGCCAATGGCTTTGTTTTCAGCCAGTTCCAGTGCGCGCGGGCCGATCGACAAGTTCCGGCAACTAACCAATGCCAGAGCCCCTCACAGCTCGAGGGTATTTCGAGAGATTGCCCCGACCTGGGGAAGGCAGATACTAAATTGTAGATTGCAGACTAGTTATACATTGATTAGACATATGTATTTGATATGTCTATTTCGATACCAAAGTTCGAGTCGATATATCCACTTTCGGATCTAGCTTGATTTATCTTTTATTTTCTCTTTCTTTAGTTGCTTTCTTTTCTTTGTATTCATCTATCTGTCTGTTCTTCCATACTCTCTCTTTCTCTCTCTCTTTCTCTCTGTCTCTCTGCATGTTGCAGTATATTTTTCTCTCTCAGCCTCTACCTCTTTCTTTCTTAACCCGCCTCTATCTCTCCCTCTGCCTCTCTCTCTCCCTCTTACATAAATCTGTATCTAATATATCAATATTATCTTATTATTTATTAGATTATTTCCTCAGGCACCTCTCGTGCTCACTATTTTGTTGTTGCTGATTGTTGTTGCTGTTGTTGTTCAATAATTCAAATTTAATTTATTCATGCGCGAAAAATAGCACTTAATCAGCTTTTGATTTATTTAATACCCTGTAAAATGCAATCATCAAATACTGTCTATGTAGCTGCTCGCATCATAAGGTTGTTTGGCCTCGAATTTAATAATTGATGCCAGATGGATGTTCATATAGTTAAAGTATCGATAATGTGTATGTATCGATAAATATAGAAGTTGATATATATATAAAAATAGATGAAAATAGAATGAGTCTGTCAATGCTCTTATTCTGCGTCTTTGACTCTCTGCCTCTCTCTTCATCTTCCCCAATGCATTTACGTCTCTCTCACTCTCTTTTTCTCCTTCTCCTTTGCCTACTTTTTACTCTCTCTCTCTCTCCAGGTCTTTCTCCCTCCCTGCTCAAATTCTATTTAATTCTCAGCCTTCGTTTTTGTACCTTTCTTTCAGATTCTTTCTTCCTCTTCTTCACACTATGTTTCTCTCACTTTCTCTCTCTATCTTCTCTATTTTCTTCTCCTTCTCTTTCTTTGACCATCTCCCTCTATGTTGTTCTCCCTTTCCCACTCTCTCTTTCTGCTCTCTCTCTATCTTTCTCTCTCTCTTTCTGCTCTCTTTCTATCTATCGCCACATAACCCAAAGCAAGCAACTTCCTTTGTGGCCCAATATAGCCCCGTTCCCACAAATTACAGGGTATAAACATGTGCTGCACAACTCAACTCAAACAAGCTGGTCAAAAATTATGAATAATTGAGTGGAATTAAACAAATCGTTGTGCACGACAGCAGAAGGAGGCGCACAATGAGCTGCATAAAAATGGAAAACTCGTTGTAATCGAATTTCAGCGGCCAAATGGAGCAACAATTAAAACTGATAACAAATGAATGCAAACATAGAATTGACCAACTGACGAAAAAAAGGCCCCAAAACAGCATTGAAAGTTTATAATGAAAATGAATTTAGGGTCAGTTGTTGTTGTTGCTGTTGTTGGTTGAATGCAATGCGAAGGAGGAGGAGAAGGAGATGGCGGAGCAGGAGCAGAAAGTGAAGCAGCAGACGGAGGCCAAAAAAGTCATCAAAGAAATTCAATTTGATAAAGAATCAATGGCCAAGGAATGAGTTTTCTGCACCCCGACCCCGACCTCACCGACCCCGCGCCCACAGCCCAACAAAAACTTTTGCCCGACAAAATATAACAAAAATGAAAAGAAGTCAAGAGAGAGAGAGAGAGAGTCAAAGGGGGAGAGAGAGAGTGAAGGGGAGAGACGAGAAAAAAAAAACGATGGCAAATTAAATCGAGCAATCAAATGATCATAATAGGTTAATCAAGAACAGGAGCTGGGCATCCTCAGGGCCTTCGGGCTCTGCTCTGCTCTGCTCTGCTCTGCTCTGCTCTGCTCTGGTTGGCTGCTTTGGTAATTTGTCTGCTGCTCGTGCTGTACAATAGACAAATTGAAATCGCAAAATAGAAAAATGGCAGTCACACACACACACGCACACACACACACAAAGGCATTGCAGGTTGACATACAAGCAAATAAATAAGTGCACTCAAGTATGTAATATGGCCAACAGGCAGCGCACCCTGGTCAGACATACATAGATAGACATTGTCTGGCTGGCGGTAAATGCTCTAGTTTCCA